CTTCATAATTGCAAATGTGTCATTATATAAATATAACATACATGAAATAACCCCCATATAGCATACATGAATCACCTCGTAGCAGATCTATACAGGTGGAGCTGGGGAAGGAGGAGGCTTTCTGAAACAAGCTGCAACTGCTACAGCAAACACTAGTCATATATGTGAATGTTGAGCAGTGGGCTCATTGGCTACCAACACAGGAGAGAACCAATCAGCTGGGCCATGTGATAATGATGTCATTAGGTCGGATTGAGTTAGACCTATCGGACTGCGCCATCTAGAGTTTCATGCCAGAACTCTGTATTTATAAATGAGACACTCAACCATCTTAATAAGGCAGAAAAACAGAAGTGAACAAAAAAAAAACCTTCAGTGAAATCCAAACTGTAAAACAAATTAAATTTATTCTATTTATTTTTGTCATCATTAACAGAGCTGAAGAGGGTTCAGAAGTACTCAGGTAATGTTTCCTAGTACATTTGATCTGTTATACATCACTAGTCCACTTTGCATTTAAGTGTGTTTATGTCATCCTGTCTGTTTGGTTTTTCGCTCACGTCTCTGTTGTATGTTCCCTATGAAGTGGACATCACCTTTGACCCGGACACGGCGAACCCCTGGCTGCAGCTGTCCGAGGATGGCCGTCAGATGCGTCACCTGGGCTCGTGGCAGGACCTGGCCGACACACCTGAGCGCTTCGATACGGTAGTGATCGCTCTCAGCTGCGAGGGACTGTCCTCGGGACGCCATTACTGGGAGGTCCAGGTGGGCGAGAAGGACGACTGGTCCATCGGTGTGGCCCTGGCGTCCGTCAACAGAAAAGGCAGGATTTCGGTGAGCACGGCTCACGGCTACTGGGCTATAGCCATGAAGAAAGGCCAGGAATATCGCGTTTCTTCCTCTCCACCCCTCCTGCTCTCCATCGAGCCCAAGCTGAAGAGAGTGGGCGTCTATGTGGACTACGAAGAAGGACAGGTGTCGTTCTACGACGTACAAAACAAAGGTCACATCTACACCTTTATGGACTCGTTTAAAGAGAAACTCTTCCCGTTTTTCTACCTCTACTGCTGCGACAAGGCCTCGGACACCATGATGATCTGTCCTGTGCAGGAGACGTCTCATACTAAACAGTGCTGAATCACGAGCCACGCAATGACACTACAGTACTTCTGTTTCTATACGGTTACTTTGTGCGTATTATAGATATTTAGTTTTATTGCATGGCCACGCAAAAAGGAATTATTCACAAACAACCAAAGCATACAAGACGGAAATATACATAAAATATAAAGTGAAATAAAACTGAAATATTCATGTAAATCAGTGCAAGTGTATATATATATATTTCTACAAAAAATGTAATCAGGTTTATTGCATGGCCAGAATATGAGGTAAGATGTAACGAGCTGAACATGACGAGGCTGAAAACAGCAGTATTTGCCAAATGATTAAGATAAAAATGTTAAATAGGGAGGCCATCTGTCCGACTCATTTGTCCTCCTTTTAAGATCATCACTATTATATACTTTATTCAATGTTATATAATTAATAAAGTTAATTAATTAAAACATACTGTAGGCTAAGTTTAAGCTTATATTTTATAATGCAGCCTACATTTTGACACAACATTTCCAATACTGTTTTTGCTCCAAAATAGTCGCAGAAGAACGTTTGCGTCTCAGATTAAAGATTCACTGACTCATTCATTAAGACAGTCACTTGTTTCATTCTTGAATGAATCGGCCGTTCTGTACAAATGTGCTGAATTAATTCATTTTTCATTTAATTCATAATTCAGACTTATTCATTAAGACAGTGACTTGTTCTTTCATAGTTTCATATTTAAAGTATCATTTTCTTTTTTTGCCCCGCAAAATTTCATATATATATATATATATATATATATAATTTAAAATATTAACCTTTTTACATTATGCATTTGTGAACAATTTGTCTAAATGCCACTTCTGCAGTGCAAAGATTGATTTTGTCTGATTTTCATTTGATCGGTAACAGCCCTGTATTGTCTTATTATTCCAATTGCATTTATTGAATAAATGTAAATATTTAAATGAAAGGGGACAGAGATTTAAAAAGGTTAGAAAAGAAAATGCCTTTATAAAAAAAAAATTAAAATAAAAAACTCACACCTTAATGGAAAATCTCTGTCTCTGCTTAAAGTTTGGGATTATTTATTCAGTTTTTATCCTGGCCTCATATCCTGCTAAGTGTTCTCCTCTTTGGTGTTATAGAAATGTCCACCCTAATGTTAAATAACTGATAGTAATAACTAGAGATGCAAACTACTGCTCACCTTAGGCAATTTTTTTCTAAATCTGGACAAATACGGTTAAAAATGTTAAATGTCATTTATGTTCTAATTTAAAGTTGGTAAGTGGTGTTGAAAACTGCTCTTTGCATAATGAGCCAGTGTGTTATATGTGGTGTGTTGTGGGCCGCTCTGTGCCAGGGGCCACTTTTTAGTCTCAGTCTGCCCCTGGGTTGGGGTGACGGACAGGGTTTAAATTACGTTTCTTTGATAACACTATTGTTCCGGGATCAGCAAAACACATGAATCTGTGAACTTTAAACTGAACCGATAAAGTGAATGTGATAATTTTATCATGATGTCTCACCTAACCTGATCCTGACACACCTTCTGCACAGAATCCATCACTCAACTCCTGCGGCTGCCAGAAAACCACAAATAACTCTGAGGAGTGTCAAGCACCGGCTGACTCATCATTTCTCAGAGTAGTTTGCGTATTGAAGTCTTTAGAAACACTCAAATGCTGACATTTCAAATGCTTTCATCTTATGAACCATTTTCAGGATTTTTTTTTTTTTTCCTCAGCAGAGTTTTATCAAACCTGACAGATTGTTTTCCTCATTCAGATTTTAAAAGCCCACACTTCAGAAAGTGACTAATGCAAGCAGTTAGAAATAAAAGTAATTATTTTTTTAGAACATTCAGCACTCTTCTCCAGTCTCTGGAACAAGCAAGCACTTCCCTGTGGATCTGCATTTGTTATTCACTCGTCTGTCCTGCTCTCAGGCCGTGATTTACATGAAATGTGAAAGATGAGAAGATCTCGAGTTGTTCATGAGTGTGTGGATAGACAAGCTCTCCCTCTTAATACCTACAATTATTAAAATATAATATCTATAATAAAATATATTATAATAGAAAACAGTTTTAAATTGTAATACTATTTCACAACATTACCTTTTTTATTTTTTTATTTTACGGAGCCCCGCACATGACATGCAAGAAAAAATAAATAAATAGTTTCGTTCTCTCGATTTATAAATCGTGTGCACGATTTTGCAAATCGAGGGAACAAATTAGTAAATCGTGCATGATTTATAAATTTTTTCTTGCATGTCATTTGCGGGGCTCCGTAGTATTTTATTAAATGAATGCATATACAATTGGCTAGTTTAATAGTTTAATTGCCATTTCACAGTAACATGTAGTCTGTTAACATTCATATGAATATTCACATTTAAAGACAGATAGATAGATGGATGGATGGATGGATGGATAGATAGATGATAGACAGATAGATAGATATAATATTTCTATAAAGACATTTTTTAAATTATTTTTAGTAGAAATTTGGAGAAATTACATTAAGAAGGACAGCACCCTGTTCATTAAAATATTCTTAAATATATATATATATATATATATATATATACATTTATAATGCTCTATAAATATCTCTAGATGTACAATGTATAATTTTCACCTTAATGCTTGTTTGCTTTTCAAACCACTCAAAGTACTACAGATGATATCATACCAAAGAAGAAAACAAAGACATAAACGAAAGGCAATCATGTCAATGTCAATATTTATGAATATTCTGATACTTCTTAGTTTCAAACTCTCAAAATCAGGCCTTACTTTCACACAGAGATGTCAGTTTGATTGACAGGGCAAATGACCAACGGGCTTGAGTTGGATCCGTCTTTGTTAGGATGAGGATTGAAGTACGGACGGATGGCTCCATTAAAGCTGCACCGAGTGAATGAGTAAATATGTGACAGAGCCTCCATATCATAGAAGGAGACCAGAGCCTCCTCGCAGTCCACAAACACTCCCAGCTTCCGGGGTTTGGAGGAGAGCTGAAGCAGGACTGGAGGGTCTTCAAAAGCGCCGTACATTTTTTGACCGCAGAGCACGATGGCCCAGTAACCCTCGCTGGGTTTGTAGGACACTTTGCCCTTCCGGTTCGCTCACATCTTTTCAGAAATTTCTGAAAAACTTCTAATTTAATTGAACTTAAAACAATCTTCTCATAAACCGTTTATAATAAATGTCATATTTAGCTTCCTGTGGCCTTCAGCAAGTTGGAGATATACATAAATTTAATTAAATTTGTTCTTTGATGAACAGTCATCATAGCAGCTGGTTATTAGTTTATTTTGGCTGCTTTAAGATCTGCTGAACATGACATGGATCTGACACGCATCATATTTTCTCATAACTCTTTACCTTTGTTGATCCAGTTTAGTTTGCGCTTTAATATATAATGATGCAGGTTACAGCGCGCGCCGCCGCATTTGTGCGTGCAATTGTTGTCAAGAAAAAAAGAGACAGAAGCAGCAGTTGTGAGTGGGCTGGCAAAGCCTAGCTCCGCCCCTGCGTTAATTGCATTAAATATTTTTAACACGTTATACTGAAAAGATTAATCGCCTGCATTAACATGCTAATTTTGACAGCACTATATATATATATATATATACTGTATATATACACACACACTGTATATACATACAGTAGGCTATATGACAAAAGCACAATAAAATAAATGTAAAATTAAAATGGAAACAGTATAAAATATAAAAGGATAAATGAGTCTATGTATGCAACACTGAGGACACATGACCTTATCTGATTTAGAAAGTGTTGTCAATGAACCTTGGTTGAAGCATGTTATGATTTTAATACGTTTGCATATTTTGTACTGTATGTACCTGGTATTTTGCAGCTGATTCCTTAAGCTCCTTAAGTTTGTCTTCCCTCTGATTGATCATCCTTTCCATCACCTCAATAGTGTTTTGCTGCATGGCCTGTACAAACACACACACACACACACACACACACACACCAAACTTACTTTGAATTCATACAAAATCAATCAATTCCTATTCAGTGTCAGAAATTAACCAGGCAAAAATTACATAAAAAAACAGTGTGATGGGCAGCTGCGTAAATCTTTGAACCAGGAAGTTATTTACAGAAGAGTGTGCAATTGAGCATTTATTCAAATTCAACTATGAAATATCTGGTCCCACACAATCGATTCTGACTTTGACTGGTATATTTTGGAGTATATTTTGGTCAATTTGCTTTACCTGAAATGTTTACGTAAATGAAATCAGGGAAATTGCATTCCTGTAGCTTAAACAATAAGCATGAGCATGCATGAGCACGATTATGGGCTCAATTCCCAGGGAATGCATGAACTGGTGGAATTTATACCTTAAATCAGTGTTATTATAGCATTATGGATGTAGCATTATAGTTTTTTATATATATATATATATATATAATTAAATAATAATTTTATGGATTATTTTACGCTTTGGATAAAAGCATCTTTTTCAAATTTAAATGCAAATTTAAATTTAAATTTAAATTTAAATTTAAAAAGTCAAATTTAAATGCATTGATTCAATTGCGTTTTTTTTTTTCTAACTTAATTGAATTGTTTATTCTTTTTGGGAAACATTTCAAACACTGGCTCAGGTGAAAAGATTGGTCTGTGTTGTTTCCCGAGAGCTTTATATTCTCACCTGTCTCCTCTCTCTCTCTGTCTCCACAGGTATCACATCTCCACCCGTCTTCACACATAAGGCACAGATGCAGCACTCGTCACGTCTGCAGTAGAGCTAAAGAGGTCTGCCGTGCGTATTGCACGCTCTCTGATCCAACTTCTCTACAGGATTCACCAGCTTATGGCACTTGAATCTCGCCATAGACTGGTGAGGCTTCAGGTGTTCATCGCAGAATGACAGAAGACAGATCAGGCAGGACTTCACGGCTTTAAATGTGATGTGTTCATCACAGACGTCACACGGAATCGCGTCTCTTTCTCCACAGAAGAGGTCTAGGTTGGGTAACTGAGTCTGGTGAAACTCTCGCAGGAGGGCTTCGATCGCTTCGTTCACAGAAGGTTTGGTGGTAACAGGCTCCTGGCAGAGAGGGCACTGTGGCTCGGACACGCTGATGTGCTTGTCCAGACAGCCCTTGCAGAAGGTGTGTCCACAGGTGGTTGAGACCGGATCCGCTAGCAGGGTTTTGCAGATGGGGCAGTGAAGGTGGCGAGAGATGTCCACGGGTGTAGCCATTGTGATTGTGTCAGCTGTTAAATTTGAGGATGGACGAAACAGCTGCAACAACAACAACAACAACAACAACAATAACTGTAGCTGCAACAGCAATTATGTGGTCAAGCACAAAGGAGGCATAGTGAAGAGCTAAGTAAGCATGGTAGAGAGCATCAGAACATGGTCGTGATTTGATATATCAAGTTTCAGTGCAACAGGCAGAGGCGTTGCCAAGATACTGCATAAAACATTGTGCGGTTCATTATATCCAATTTGATGAGTTTTACAAAAATAGTTTGAGATATCAAAACATTTTAATATCTTTTTGCTAGCATGGTCTGACGAAGATCTGTGACGAAATGTGGTGAAGATCGGACAAATGGTCTGAAGGAGTTAGAAAAAGTAGTTTTTTTTTGACCTGATGCAAAATGACAGACAGCAAATTGTACGACTTTTGAAAAATGTATACTGTTGGATTTTGTAAGATCCAAGGAAGTGAGATTTTTGGTAATTGGACGAAATTCATAAAAGCTATAGGCATTACTGCTTATACTTACTGCTTATTGCATTGACCCAAAACTTCATAGGTACCTTTGGGGCATGGTGCCAAAGACACATATTAACTGTTGTACCAATATTTCAAATTGTTCATTAAATATAGTATTTTATGACAAAATTCAAAATGGCCGACATCCAACAATCTATATCACTGTACTCCATATGTCTTAAAGAATCCAAAGATAATTTTATGACAAACTGCCAAATACCAATTTTTCAGTTTTTTTGCAGCACAATTTGGCACTTTTCCTAAACTCCTCACATACCCGCATGATATGATGGCTATGAAGTATACCAAGTTTCGTCTCAATATGCCAGAGCATTGCAGAGATATAGCCTCAAGTCCACTTTGCCATGCTCACCATCAAATTTGTTAAAGCATTATATGACAATGGTTTGAGCATGATGTTACTGTAGTTCTAGACTAAATGTCAGCATGCATTTACTCATCTCACTCGCACAAAAATAGATTTATTATTCCTCAAAATGAATAAAACAGTAAAAAACACAAACTCAGAATATGATGCAAACCTGCAAAAATGTAATGGTAAATAGCACAGATATTCTTTATGTATTAATCCCATTTTATTAACCAATGTCTTTGCTGCTAACCTGCGATGATCCAGTTCAACCATACTACTAAGCAAAAATTACTTTAAATAAATATAAGATTTGCATTATTTTTTTTTTGATGAAGAGTGATGAACTTTCTTCTCCTGCATCCTATTCTTCATGCAAACCAGAGTGACAACACAGTTTCACGATCTCTAGCAGGAGCGCCCATGAGCTCAATCCCATACCCTTGCCACTCACCCTCCATTCCCCATAATACTTTGCCTGGACTCAGCACTCATCATCAGTTCACAGCTGTCTCTTGTTAGAAGGACTATAAGGGGCTGTTTACACATGGTCACTTCATGTATTTTGTCTGTTCGGATAGCTATCCGATCGTGAAAAGACCAGGTGTAAATGCGACTGCGCTAATACAACACGCATCGCTGCGGACGAGTAGCAGACGGTCAACACACAATCATCTTTATTAAAAGTAGTAAGACACACTTATCTTTCCAGTGCTGATTCCGCACGCTCTCCTATTGCGGTCTTTGATCTTGAAATGAGCTGATACAAGTTGCACACACACACTTCGCTGAGTATTTTATAGCCTGCATGTTTTTGTGGTTTCTGTCTTGCCTTGCTTTCGTGTGTTTGTTCCTTGGACTGTTTACCTGGTTTTTGAGATTGTTCGCTGCCTGCCCTTACCATCGCCTGTTTGTGGATTATCCTTTTGTCTCGCCCTGGATATTGTTGATTGCTGGTGTTTGACCCTGCCTGTTCTGACTACGCTTCTGAATAAAGCCCGCAGATGGATCCCCACTTTGTTGTCACGTCCCCTTCGTTACAGAATACTCAGCAAAACTTGGATCCAGCGGCTTTCATGGAGCCATTCAGACCAATCATGGACCCAGTTGACCAGCTACTGAAACGTCAGCAGAAAGACCTTTCTATTGAGGAATATGTCCATCAGTTTTGCAAACTGTCCTATCAGGTACCATTTGACATTGTTGCGTTGAAAGACATCTTCCGCTATGGACTTAATGAACCATTGCTGGTGTTTTGACCCTGCCTGTTCTGACTACGCTTCTGAATAAAGCCCACAGATGGATCCCCATTCTGTTGTCACGTCCCCTTTGTTACACACAGCAGAAATATCACTTTTTTTAATATTAAAAACAAACAAGCAAGCCCAGCCCTGATGAGAAAAAGTAAAGCAAAAGTACCATAATGCATTTCCTTGGATAAAAAGTAACTAAGTATCGCAATTAGTTATTTTGTTGGGGAGTAATGCAATATTGTAATGAATTACTTTTAAATGTAATTTTCCCCAACACTGCAAGCCAGAATGAAAAGTGTCCACCCTCAAGTCTCTATGATATTCTGGGGCCAGTTGCATAAACTTAGCCACTATGTTAAGACGGTATCTTAAGAACTAGTTTGACCAACTAGCAGTTAGCCAAGGGGTAAGAAGTCTTATTTTTTGGATTCAAGTTAGACCAAGCTACATTTGTATGTAAGCGTTTCAAAAAAGTTATGACCAGTCTTAAAGAAAAAAACTAGATGACTAACTTTTAAGACTAGCCTAAGTCTTTCATGCAACCAGCCCCTGTGGTCTATAGATCCCGTCTTTTAAGTGGTTTATGTCTTTTGTTATGTGCCAGGTAGGGCACATTTTACGATTTATGATTTACGATTTAACTTATTGTCAGACAAAGTCTGAAATTTGACTTGCGTTACAGCAGGTTCACTCCCAATTGCAAAAAATTATCACATGGACAAGAGACAGACCAGACTTATACAATCACAAGAAAGAGAAAAAAAAAACTTTTCAAGGCTCCAGTACAGATTAAATTTTTGTGTAACTTATTCAGCTCTAGTATAGCTTGGTGTACAAAATAATACTTTAGTCTAATTTGATTATAGATGGCAACAATACACTTTATACATTATACAACACATGATTAGTTTCAGAAACAATATTTTTCGCCAACCTTACAAGATTTCTATGACGTCTTTTGAAGTGGCTGACCCACTATTTTGGAACACATTTTTAGTAAGTTAATCAGCTTTGTTTTTAAGCTGACAGATAAACTCCTATACCAAACAGAATTACAGTACTGCAAGACTAATAGAAAAATAATAAGATAATCTGCTTTCTTGCTCCAAAAGACCTCAGTCGGAGGAGGAAGTAGATTATTTGCATTGATTATTTACAGATACTATCTATATGGTATGTCCATGATAACATGTTATCTATCTTTACTCCTAAGTACTTATACGCTTCTACCTGTCTGATGTTCACTTCATGTATAACAACAGGTGTTGTACCTGAATAAAATATCCTCTCTTTTTTCTGATGTTAATGCTAAGTGCATTATAATCACACCACTCAGCTAATTTATTTACCCCGTTAATGCTGTTCTGAACACTCCTGAGTTATTTAGTAATGATATTAACACGGTATCATCAGAGTACTTTAGAATATATTGGTTAGGCCTATTTGAACGACAGTCATCTGTGTACAAAGTGAATAACATAGCAGAGCATACACAGCCCTGAGGTACACCAACATTTGTTTTTACTTCTGTTGACAAAACATCATTCACTTTAACTCTTTGAGTTCTATTAGTGAGAAAGGAAATGTACCATATAATCAGATATGGATTAACATCTAGCTGCATTCATTTGGACACAAGAGTATTAACTTGTGTAACTTTGTGTCGAATGCAGAAGAAAAGTCAATAAATAAAGCTCTAGCATAGGCGTTACTTTTATCTAGACGTTTAGAGATTATATGCACTAGAGCAGCCACTCGTCTTCCGTACTGCAGCCTTGTTTATATGCGAACTGACACTCATCAAGTTTTCCTTTAACATTATTCATCAGATATTTAAGTAATATTCTTTCTAAACATTTCATTATTACTGAGGTAAGAGATGTAGGTCTGTAGTCTTTACATTCCTTTGGGCAATATATTTTTGGTACTGGTTTTAACATTGACGTATTCCACATTACAGGAACAATATGTGAAACAATAGAAGCCTGAAAGACTTGTTGCCACACTGGACCGAGTTCATAGGCGAAGTCCTTTATAAGGCTTGGAGCACACCCATCAGGACGGGCAGCTTTTCTGATGTTAGTAGACTGAAATGCCCTCCTAACATCTTCAACATCAATAGTTATCTACTATATAGTACTATATTAGCTAGTTCATAATTACTTGCAGGTTCAAATCTTGTAAAAAAAAAAGATATATATCTGAAGTTATGAAAAACAATAGTATTAGCAATGCTTAGAGTGACCCTTGCCTTTGCAAACACCACTGATGATCAGGAAATATAAGCAGAAATCAGACTTACCTTGTCGGAGGTATCAGTTCTGGGTTCTTCTCT